GTGTCTTAGACAAAATAAGTGCAGTTTCATGTCACTTCCTTATTGAGCACAAGCACAAACAGGCAGGTTCCCCAATGGGAAATTAAACTAATATGGCCAATAAAGCTCGTAAAATTATTCCCCCTCCATCAGGATATTAAAGGTTATGTCATTTGCAGGCCATGAAAGCTGATCATGAGCTATGAATGTGTTTATCATGCATTTTACAGTGGACTCATATATCCATACAAATTAAAGTACATTTAATAGAAGTTTGACTGACCAAAATTTTAAAAATACTGGATTTAATTTMTTATTACTAGATTAAATCTTTATTTATCTTACACCTGAAGTTCAAAAACTCTAAAATGGGGCCATGGAAATTTTCATGCAACCCTCTTTCCTTCATGAAATTAAAGAACTATTATTAAATTATGGCCAATTCAAAACACCCTTGAAAAAATGACAATGTTGGATTGAAATATTCAAAAAAGTGCTGCTTACCTGTATGGACAAATAACACCTTCTTGCCTTTAAATCTTTGAGGGTTATCTCTCATTTCGGCAAGCATACCRCGCACAGTTTTAAGGGTATATACTGGGTCTAGTGTTATTCCAGTACTGCATGCTATTTGAACAAGGTGTTCTACACAAATGAGAAGACATTTCAGTTTCAAGAAAACAAATATGTTTAGCCTCAGTTATAACACATTTTAATTCAAAGAATTGGATGGCAAAATTAAGTTTATATTTTACCTAGTTCCTCTTCTGTTGAGATGCCATATCCTTCTCCTTTATGACCATCCATGATATCTATGATATCTGCTGCTTTGACGTGATTTAATCCTGCACTATCCAGATCTTCTTGGATATGAATATGTAGGTTTTCAACACTGTTTCTGATATTAACAGCATGGACCCTACAAAATTCAAAAGCTTTTCTTAGAAAATTATATAATTGATGACAATAACAATATATAAAGTAAATGATCAGCTTTGCACATGTGAATTCTTAGTTCTGCCAATCCAAACAGAACAGCAAGTTTTCTACCATATTATTTGTATCTAGGTGCAAACACCTGACTATATGTTCTCTCAACTTGCTCTTGAAAATATATGTTTGTCAGCTAAACGTCAATGTAAATTTATTAGGTGGTCTCCTTTGAAATTAACAAGTGTTGAAGTGTTAGTCAACAATTATACAAGTTCAAGGAGCAAGTCAGAATGTGTTTTGATGGCTGCTGTTTTTGTATGCCAGATGCAAGAGAGTATTTCTTCACTATGTTTCACCATAAAATGACAGGGCATCTTCCACTTACTTTAGTTTAGAGCCAGTCAAATAGTTTGCAATGCATAGACCCRAGGCAGTACCACCACTACCAGTGGTAACAACAAGATCTGTATAGTCTTTCAGGGCATTCTGAAAAACATTRACATAAAATGATTTAATTCAGTAACGTTGCAGGTGCTGTATAGTTATTTATATATTAGAAAAATATGGAGCTATTATAATATATTTGCTAATTACACATTTTGAAATCAAACAAAACTTTCTTCATGCAATCATTTATGTATGATTAGCTTACGCTTTTACCAGAAATCGTAATTTTTTTATTGAGTGCTATATAATGATACAGCATATCTTGACAAGAATCCTTGTCATTTGTGAATGGCATATATATTATATAATATGCAGTTTTTGGTTATATCCTAACCTGTTCAATCAGTTCTTGGAAACACTGGAAATATGCAAACACTCCTTTGTAACAAGAGCCGCCTGCTGGGATCACATAAATTTTGGAATCTTTTTCTTGCCTGGGGAAAATAACAACACAAAAATAAGATTAATAATTATGCCTTTATATATATTGCAAACAAAAAAAACATTAACTGACACTTCAACAATGAATCTTATCTAACAATATTATTATATAGTATAGATAGTATGCACAATCTGATTGGTCAAGAACATTGAGCTTAATTAATTAGCACRGTTGCTGAGGAGCAGCAAACTTTGTGAAATCTTATGACAAAATAAAAATTGAATCCTAAAAATTAAATTGAATATAAATTTGCTTACTCCAATTTTTCTTTTAATTGTTCCATTTTTGGATAGATAGCAACATCATATGGCARATACTCAGTCAAGATCATGTGACTGCCTGTCAATCTGTTAAATAACAGATTGCCAAGGCTACCAATATCAGTACCCTAAAATCAGCAAATGAATAAAAATTATTTGTTGAACTCATAAATTTTATAAATTTTGTATTCATGCATGAAAAGACCGTAAGAAAAGGCAACTTGAATAAACTTTAACTATAGAGTACCTGCTTGTTCATGAAGTTAGTATAAGTAATTAATGTAAGAACACATACAACACCAATATAGCAGTCATATTTTAACTATTAATCACCTTTTGTCTCTGTCGCATGAATAGATAGCACTCCAAACCAAGCTGTTTGGCTGCAATGGCTGTACAACGGCAGTGATTTGAGTATGTACTTCCCAGCGTGAACACAGTATCAGCTTGCTCTTCTAAAGCCCCAGCAAAGAGAAACTCCAGCTTACGAACCTTAGGACAAAATACAAAATCAATAGAACGTT